CTTCTATTGTTTTATTACGACCACGCCGCGCATATCTGCATAGAAATAAATATTTATTTATAGAGAAAAGGATTCCTTATCAATTATATGTATAATTACTTATAAGTATAATTAAAAATTACCTAACAACGATAATTTTGTCGTTTGAATACTTGGCCGAGTTCGAAAACCACAACAAAGAAAAACCGACGAGACTTCAACAATATCATCTTTCATATTAAAAATTACATCTCTTCTTAAAGCTTAAATATACACTTGCCATAACGCTTGACACAAGCATTTGTTTTTTCTTGTTTCTGAAGCCGTTATACTTTTTTTTTTTCATCTCAAATAGACTAAAGGAATTTAAGAGCACCTTGCCTTTGTATCATGTGTAATAGTTAACTTTTTCACTATCGTGTGAACGGTTTTTGTTTTTTTGTTTGTATTCATTTGTTTGGCTCCCGAAGTCCCTGATAAAAATCTCTATGTCTCGATATTTACAATAATAAAGCCAGGAACTTCAGGAGACCCTATCTTTTCTCATGTCGAGCATAAGTCTTGATACTATCTCTGGATCGCAGAGTTGAGAAGAAAAGGAACATAGAACATTTTACTTTCTAGTAGAAGTGCCGCAGCGGACTGCACCTGCAAAATGGTAAAATTAACTGTCGTTTATTAAAAACAGAAGACAAACAATCTCAACTGCGTTCGCGTCGATATCGATGTGACGTATTCAGGAACGTTACGTCATCTTCGTTAAGAGATCGATTGCCTAATGATGTCAGATCTCCACTGACGCTTTATTAATTGAAATTTACCGATTCACACAAACGTTTGATTGTCGAATTTAGTAAAAACAAAAGAAAGAAGAAATAAAAACAGGTGTCGCAAAACTAGAAGAACAGTAGTGACATTTGAAAAGCAACAATTGCAATATTTTACTCAAGCATTTTTTTTGAAAAAATTGAAAAACTCCGAGCCTATGGCAACATTGCCGTCGTGTGACGACCGGAGACGAACCGTTCGTAACTGTTCTGCTAACTCGACAGAAGGTGCGACAAACAGTTCCGCGATGTGCTAAAGCTTCGCGGTACCGTACATGCAAAGTTTGGATGTTTTTCTCCAATTAATTTTGAAACTTGTAGTTGTTATTATTATTGAGGTAAGAATAACGAAGTCATTAAAATATTGCTAAGGTCATTAACTTTGGCATTGCCCATCAAATAACCACATGTCCATTTGATTTTCGAAAGTTTACTAATTACTCAAGACAGAAGCAATTAAAAATGCACCAACTGAATTTGGACACAAAGTCACGTTGAAATTCTGACCTAGGAGACATGTTCTGTTTCTGGGATCAATGGCAAATTTCGCACTTCACACCCGCACAAAAACAATAAAAAACCTTTTCTTACCTCTGGTAACCTAAAGAGCAATTCTTGAAACCTGGTGGGTTGATCAGGATAAACATGCTGGGTGTATGCTCTCAGACAGGTCATGTATCTCTCCTGGATCCCTTCCAATTCCATATTACTAATATTAATTCCGGGCCGCCCTGTCGAATTAGTATTAAGCGTAAGTAAATGTTCTAGTCCAAAACTTGACGTTAGTACCTAAGACTACATCAGTTCGTTGAGTGTGCGGAGGTTTTTCAAAAATTTTAAAGAAGAAACGAGGTCACCTGACCTCCAGCGCAATTAATTCGTTAAAAATACTAGTAGTGATTTAGTATGACCTTCCGCCTGATACTTGAGTATATTTTTGAAATTCTGAATGTGTATTTGATTAATTAACTTCTAGTTTTTTAAGTTAATGAAAACACTATCTGCCAAGGTTAGATCGGTGTCAGTGCAGCAATTAAAATTATCATTTAGGGTCCGATAGGTACTGCAATTCGTTCAAAAACCATAACACAAATGTCTATGCAATAAATTTACATTATTAGCTGCTGCCTTTGTAAAATTCCCTTGTACTATTGTATTACTTAAGACGTTTATTAAGGGGGATGAGTGGTGGTGGGTGTGTATGTCCTTAATCTCACCTTGATTTAACATGGTTATGACTTTAAGGCACACATACTCCTCCATCGTCAGTTTGATCCGTCGAAACATCATCGTGACGTGTGTAATTTTTTCGACCATGAGCCCGACATCTTGACGCAGCTGGTCCATCGTGATGGGCCTGCCCATCATTGACGTCAGACAGTTTTGTAAAGTACACAAGTTCTTATTCACCTGAAAGTAGTAAAAAGTTTTGTTGGGCATGTAAGCCTCATGGTTTAAGGGGAGTTAGGAAGCTCGCAAGATTTCGGGAGTTCTAAAGGAGAACAACTTACCTCTTGCGTAAAGTCTGGCTCTAGGATGCCCCCCGCGAGTTGTTCCGCGGTGGTGGTTTCAGACGGCGAAGGCACAGTCTTCTGAGGTCCATGGATGGCCTGATATGCTGACGTAGTAAGCACGAGTAGCTCGTGCCACTTGTGCGTCAAGAGACGGGTGTGCACCTCGACCGGAAGTTCCAGATAGAAGGGCAGCCGTTTCGTCCATTGCACCAGCTTGTATACTATCGAATCGCCGATTTGACAAAGTTTCTCGCTCAGATCCGACTTGTGATCGAGAAGATCGTCGAGATTCTGAAGCGTCGCGATGTCCTGGAACTCGTCGCAATCGATCAACGTTTGAATCATAGAGTGAGTGTATTCGATCGAGAAGTGACGATCCCTGGAGCTGCTTACGGCGCTGTCGAGCCTCTGGCGGAGGTGCACCACCTCGCTGGGGTTCGTCAGAGCAGTCTTTAGGATAGTGCCGTTTCCTAGTTGAGGTAGGGCGCCGCCTCCGCCAGCGGTGCTGCCGCTACCCGTCCCTCCACCCATTCCTCCCGCACCTCCCATGGCGTGCTCGCTCTTCAACTGGAGGACTTCGCTCTTCAGTTGGAGGACCGTGGCTCCCACGGGAGTCGCCGTGCCCCCTTTGTCCATTCCGGTGGATTTCTGTTGAGCCTGCTGCTGTTTATTGGTCGACTTCTTGTGTTTCTTGTATTTGACTTTGTACAAGTTGTAAACGGCACCGCTGTTACGACCCCCCGGCATCCGATCTTCCCGAACCGCTGAAAATGCCACGTTACGTATTCAATAACTAAATAATGACCACCAGGAATTATTATCTAGGGGCAAATACGTCTTCACGTCCAATTTAAATTTAATAGTGTGCCTATCATTTGACAAAGGAAAAGACCGGAAGTTTAAACGTAACTTGAACGATAATTTACAAGTCTCTTCCTCGAAGGCGTTGAGATAAATCAAGCAAAATCCTTAAAAAAAACGTTACATGTGCCAAGATGCTTAGATTCGTTCGCTTTTTATGCACTAACACGGAAAAAAGAAGAAAAAAAAACGCCTACACGACGACTGAGGCACGCATATTAACGGAGAAGGTCAAAGTCGTAATGAAACAAGCATTCAGAAAATAAAGCAACGTCCTCATTGCACATTTGCGCTATAAGGTTGCTGACAATGGCTCCGTGGAAGTTCAGCGCGTATAGCATTTTATACAACATGTTATGTATTACACCGACGGACTACCGACCACCGCTGCCCACATACCAAGTGCAAGTGTACACGTTGCAACATTAACTCTAACTAATTACTCAATGAAATCGGCCGTTGCTGATAAAATCTTACCTTGGAGCACCATGCCCTGCTCGATGCATTTCTTGAACCGGCAGTACTGGCATCGGTTACGTTGCGCCTTCGTGATCTCGCAGTTCCCATCGGCGACGCACGTGTACACCCTCCTGTTCTGAACCGTCCTTTTGAAGAAACCTTTGCATCCCTCGCACGTGATGATGCCGTAGTGGAGACCTGTCGCTTTGTCTTCGCATATCATGCATATCATCGGCTGCTCTTCCTCTTCCGTCGTTTGTTCGGCCGTCACTGCGCCCCCGAAGATATTGGTCGTCGACGGGTCCGTGGTGCCCAGCGACCTCGCGTCTATCTTCGAACCGACATACATAAGAGACGTCGGTGCCAAAGTGGTGGACGTGAGGTTGAGGGCGTGCATTTGTTGGTTGGCTGGCAACTGACTTATGTCTCCCGCCCACAGTCTTTCCATGTTCAAGGGCACGTTATTAAAATGAGATAGGGGAGAGGTGACGCCTGGCGCACTTCGAACGGTGCCTGCGGCCGTCACGATCTTGCCGGCCGCAGGTCTTTCTCTCTCCTGGCCGAGGTTCAGGAGCATCTGGGCTGCGTTCTCTTCGGGATTGGAGCACGTGGAACTCGCTCCGCTACCGGTGCTCCAGTTGGACGTGGAACCGTGCAACTGGGGATCCAGTAACGGCGGAGCCACGTTCAGTGGTGGCTGAGACCATATCATAGTTCTCACTCCGCCCGCTTCTCCCATTATCACAGTAGGAGTGGATCGGATCATTCCACTCGATCCCATCCGTTGACCGGGACTAGGGCTTTTCGGTTCGATGAGAGCCGGCGAACCCAAGTTCCCTCCAATTATTTCGGGCTTGACGCCGTTTATCCTCGAATTCTGTAGCCAAAGTTGGTTTTGTATCACGACGGCCTGGGGTGACGATATGACGCCGACGGTTGTGCAAGGCGCCAGGGTGGTTTGCATGGTCATCGTGGATGTTAGTGGAGGCGGTAGATGTAACGACGAGCTGGTCACAGGCGACATAGTTAATGGACTTTGAGGTGCTGATTTCGTGACGGCCGGCCGACCCGGCGAACTGTGCGGCCTCGGCGGAGGGGACGATTCTTCGTTGGAGATCTGACGCACGGGTGGACTCTGGGATCGGATAACGGACAGAGGTCGGATCACGCTGGTTTTCCCGTTTCCTCCGCCGCCGCCGCCGCCGTCGAACACACTGGGACCCTCGACGCACGTCATCGAAGTTTCATTCGGTTCCATTTTAAGCAGTCGTCGTGGAGGCGCCGATTCCACGCACGTCATCCCTGTATCCGAACCGCCAATGTCCGTTTTGATTGTTCTTCGGTGTGTCGCTTCTATGCACGTCATCCCCGTGGTATCCATCCCCGTTTCCACCTTGAGCATCCGTCGGGGCGTTGAGTCGGGACTCGGCGGACAGGCGCTCACCTCGGACATTTTGGGCGACGGGGGGCTGACGATATCCGGCGAAGATGTGCTGGTGTCAGCTACCGACTCGCCTATAATCGGACAGATAGAATGCCTAGAAGTAGATTGTAATGAAAAGTGCAAAAACACATTTTGCTCAGTCTGACGAGGGAGTAAGAATGATAATGCTGTTATTATGAATCTAACTGAATGACGATGGATGTTCTTGGAGAACTGATTGCAGCATTAGATTTATTAATTCAGCAAGAATTTTAATGACACACGCTCACATTAACGTAAATAAAGATAAATATCCGCATATTCCGCGAGTAACGAGTGGAGATAGAACAAAATATTTCGATTAGCGCAGCAATTAGAGAGTGTCTATGGTACAATATCATCATCATCATCATCATTGCGATTTGTTGCGAGAAGTCCATTTGAATAAGTAAGGCGAAGGGTATCTCGGGTCAGTGCCCTTTCTTTAACGAGACCTTCGCGCGGATACTGAAGGTTACCTGTTCCTTTCAGTGCAATTTATGGATTCTTTCGAGCAAGCAAACAGAAACGGAACTCTGGCAAAAACGGTAACCTTTGAACGAAAGTCAGAAAGAGACAGACCGATGATAGTTATAATTGCTAGGAGTGTTTCTATCGCGTCTCACGCGTTGTTTTTAATTCAATCCAAGCATAAATTAAGTGTTGGTAATGCAATAAGAAATAATGCAATGCATTGACGCATGTAATGGAAACGAGCAAGCATTCCATCTGGAAAGATTTCGTCTAGAGGCGAACACCGGAATTCATTCTATTATGCAATTTAGTTTTTATTTTTTTTTTTTCGGATCCTGTGTACATATGGTGAGATTACACATACTTGAGGTTGTCGCGAAAAGAAAAATCATCGGATAACATTAGAATGTCGCCGGGCATCTTCTCAGAACAAACACCTGCCTAGGAAATATTAGACCTAGTGCCAGAAATAACGGGGCCATTCAACTACGCGAAGGACGTAAGCACCTTGAGGTGTGTGTAAACGTTAGAAATGTCTGTGCATGTGTTCACGCGAACTGCCGTAAACTTTGGCAGAATGACTTCATACAATTCGCCTACACGCATTTATTTACTGCAAAACAAATAGATAAATACATTTATACTGTTTGCTGGATCTCCATATTTCTCAATTAATATTTAGCTGCCGTGGGAGACGTAAAATGCAAGGGATCCTAATATATACAGGACGATCATCAGCGGGAGAGGATATGTCTTAATTCCACTGCAAGAAAGTTGGCAACGTAATACGTTTTCTCCCGCAGCGCCGTTAGAAAAGAGTACAAGTATGACTTATACCTGGGCAAATTAATATGGTCTCGTTATTGAGCAGACCTGAACCTTGAAAGTGCATAAGTACAATTCTTTAACACGACGTATACTGGCAAGGGTCAGTTCAATTATAAAAGCGCAAATTATTATTATTGCTTTGCTGCTAATTTATGTATTAACATTGCTTTTTTTATTCGCTCGTTTTGTGCATGACGCTTTTGTTATTGTTGTCATTGGAGCAATTGTTTATGTTTCGAATATTCGTTCAAAAAAAATGCCGCCAATCCGATTCTGCGAGTTGTGTTGTTTTGAATATGGCGTCGTTTTAGTGGCTTACCGTCACTGCTGCATCTAGAATCCACTTTCCTCCTTTTCAGCTTCAGGTCTTGGAAAAGGCTCATTTTGTCGAGCTCACACGGAGTTCGGGTGAAGGTCATAATTCCTGGGGAAACAAGAAAGAAAATGATGTTAGAAATACGTTTTTTTTTATGTGCCTTATAACCTTGCACATCTTTCATCGACTCTAAACAGGTTATTGAGACTAGAGGTTATTCAGCCCAGAATGGGCCTCATTCTTCTGCTTTCCAATTGTATACCAAATTTAAGTACATGCATTCTAATTGCTATTATTAGACGTACAAATTGGAATCATTGCTTTGCTGGAAATGTAAATAATTAATACAATGCAATAGCCATTGTCGAAATATCATTCATTCGTTGAGATACCGACTATGTAACTAACGATAAGTTCAAGACAAGAGATTGACCCAAATTTGAGTCGATGATGTAACATGTTTTGATGCTGCTTCTTCTATATTTTTATACATGCATACAGTAACTGAACGACCATTGCTCTGTACATCTCAGCTCAGTTTGCTGAACGAAATGGAGGAGATTATGCGAAACGAAAAAGATTCAAACAGAAACTTTCCAATTCCGATAACAGTGCGGAAGTGATAGAAAAAATGAGCTAGGAAGTATAGCAGTTTTCACATAAATAAGAAATGGTCAATGCCAGATAGTAGCCACGTCATGTGTCATAATATATTATAAAAACCACACCGGTCAAGATCGTTCAAAAGGGCAAAACACTATCGAACTGACAATAAATGATTTATTGCCCCTTTCACTGTTAGGCGAATTCAAATAATTCGTATGAACATTCAAACCCATGGGAGAAAAAGTTGCGCAACTTTCGCAAGTAGTAGATGATTTAAGACCGTTTTTAACCCCATACAAAAAGATGTTCCCAAAATCCCATGGAAATCCCATAGGATCAAAAGCATTTTGCGATTACAAGTGCAGAAACCGTTTAAATGATTTTGTGACAAACGCACCTACATCACCTATCAGCATGCAAAGCCTGATAAAAATATTTTTAGAGTCACACCTCGTGATGACAATCTGTTGTCACACGCTTGTGTCCGTGCCTTCATTCATGTGTTGTACGTTCGCGTACGACATCCATCCTACTTGATATTTACTTATTATTCATTTACGAGTGTTTTTGGTTGGTGCAGTCGACGATAAAAAAAGCACGTATCGCCAGGTCCCGCCTTACTGCATTCACAAGCGCGTCTATTGCTGCTACTGCTTATCTACGAGAGCTTTCTCGGTTCCGGAATTGTGTAACAATTTTTTCATTGTGATGGTCAGGTTTTACGTATGTACAGGGCGGTTGAAATGGTCGGAACATAAATAAGTAAGTGCAAGATAGCAGTGAAAGAATACTGGAGTAACCAAGAGATGTAAGGGTTGCGATAGTCATCGGAATGGCATATCAGAATTGAAATGTTCAAAAGATTAGGAGAATTAGAAGTTGCAAGTAGCACATTAAGAAGCAATGATTAAAAGTTGCAATGATGACATAAGAGAAGCTTCCTCGTCTGTTTCCAGTAAATATATTTGGCTTTGACTTTAGGGCTAAATGTCTGCGCACGTTAAAATAAATAAGAATTAATATTGTTGTTGTTCCTAGGTTATAAAAATTGTGGAAAATAAGCGCATTAAACGCTAACCTTGGTATTTGTCGTAATGTTGTTTGGTTCAACGCCCACAAATTGCATTTGCCATTATTATTGCAATTGGTTATTAATACACTAATGTACACTATACTCTGAACACTGCGCCACCTGTATCTTAACTATTTCGCTTTTTAATAAAGGCCAAGTAGATATTTTAACCATGATATTTTATATTTATGTCGACGATGGAGCAGGTTCATTGTCCGTGGGGGTTTTTTTATATCTAACAATTTTTCTTGTTGAAGAAGAAACTGACAAGACAGTAGAATGGTAAAAAAAGTCTTTTGCAATGTGATCATATCGTAAACCATTCCATGACTGTTGTGTATGACGTGTAAATACGGAAACAGGTACGACACATATTATGAATATGTGTTAGATTTCGAGGTCGATGGGTGATGTTCTTCACAACGGAGACAGTGTACTTGTCCGACAGTGAAATCAAAAACGAATCCGGCAACCTGAACCTCAACCATGAAAAACAAGCATTTTTGTTTCCGCGTCTCATAATGAAATTACTCATTGGAGCACATTCTGCGACAAAAAAAATATTCAATGTTATTGACGCAAGAGCAATTGCCAGTGTTAGTCTTTCTGAAATAATCTATGATACAGTATCTATAAAAAAAACCTTTAGTTACAAAATACCTTGACTATATTTAAAATGTTTCCCTGGGTTATCGTATGCTGTTATACAGTTCTACGCGTTTTGTAGAAATGTTAAGCACTGACCTCAACTATTTCACGCATGTTAATCCTAGTGAGCGTATTCCCTGCTGTAAATAATTTCTAGTAATATTATTTAACCTGTCTCATTAATATTTCAACATTTACAGGATCGTAAAGCTATTTTAAATGTCTACAGACATAAAATGATTTAATTTCTTTCCCTAAAAATATAGTAGGGGCTCATCGTACAACGGCTCTAAAAATAAGAAGATCCAAAAACCACATCCCAACCAAGAATTATGGAAAAGGATTCCAACACTTCCAGTTCCAGATATATATGTGTAATATAGATTTTGTAAAAATAAAGTTTTTCAAATTGAAACGCATTCATCCATGACCTTACCCACTGCGGTTGCAATTATGACAAGTCATATGAGATCACTTGTCATGAGTTGATTCTAATTAATAAATAAATATGGATGAGTGTAAATACAGTGACATACGTGTGTGTGTGTGTGTGTAGATATATCCCATCGCCAGTTTCCTTCTCGATCTTCGTCACGAAATTAAACAAAGACGATGGTTAGTATATAGAGATACTAACTAATACAGTGATGTGTGTGTATATATTGTATCAGACTCGTTTGTTTGTGTACTCAAGGCTGTTTGCCTGCTTAAGTTAGGTCAGTAGTACCACAGACAGGCGTAGTTGAAATATCGGCCTAGCTGACTTGCTTTTGTTATCGAGGGCAGCAATAAGAAGTAAAAAGTAATCGTACGCCACTGGCTCGTGTGGGATACGTTTTACGTCATAGTCCGGCAAGGTCTCTATTAAAATTATTTGCAGTAAATCTACACAGGACGATCGCAATCTATTGGCAAGAGTTTGAGAATGATCGTTAATATCGATCGGTATCCTTTACTCATTAAGGATTCCAAAGAAAACAATAAGGAAACAGAAGGATCCATTTGTAGAAAGAATCATGACATATGTCCCATCTTGACTACATAAGTTAATGATTGCCACAAGTATAAATAGAAATTATTGTGTATGTGCTAGCAAAATTATTTTAACGCCTTCCTGCCGCACCACCACATAAAATAATGTATTGTGACAATTACGTAAAAGTCAACAAACACATTACGAGGATTATGTTACATCTAGCTATTTGTGCGAGTTAGTGTCCGCGTGTAAGTGTGTATTATATTATGTATAGGCTTCGCACGAAAACTCGCGAGCCGCGCGCGTTCGAAGGCCGTTGGTGCTGTTTTAAGTTAGGTCAGTAGTGTCAGAGACGTGGCATTGGGGCATTACTACCGCTCCGCTAGCTTTGCCTTGCGACCGCTACCTCTGCTTACGTCTCCCCGTTCCTCAATTGCGGAAAACCAGCGGCGGGTCGTCATCCGCAGTTGGGAGATCGTGTGTAATGCTGGCCAATAATAATTAAAGAGACGCAAGACAGCTAAGGAGAAATTAATATTTCGATGTGAGTAGTGGCTGGTGGCACCTGTACTTCCTCGTCTCTTCCTAAAATAGCTTGATGTAACCGTTCCACTTTACCAAATCGTCTTCAGGTCCAAGTGCACGTCCCGTTTCTATTTCAGTATTTTTAAAAGTATTATTACTTCAAGGATAACGGATCGTCGACGGCACAAAATGCACGTCCTTAACAACATCCTTTGGACTTATAAATAGAGTAAGGCGGGCTTTCGGGAGAACGACGTTAACGCATCATCGAAAAAGGCAACCGTCGTCGGTTGTTCCGCATTCTTATCGGCGCTTCAAATGTTGTAATTGAACTGATAAAGGATGCGAGTAACATCGCCCGTTGCATATCCTGCATCAGGATTAGTAGAACAGTGACGTCTTAAACTTCGAATAAGTTGTGAAGCGCAAGAATTGATGTGCTTCAGAAACAAATATGGCATAGGACATAAGCAACATGAAACTATGCTAGGAAGATACTACCTCATTTGTTGGAACACATCAACCCGGAAAAGAATGTGAATATATATACCTAATGATAGAACCAGAAGAAACATTTGAAAATGCCACAAATGGATAGTCCTTATGCGACACAAAAGAACAATACAGGAAGATGTGGATCGTTTCTTAATTGATTCAGTCTTCCGGCTGTCACCATTTAGTGGATGAGAAAAGAATTATTCACCAATTACATATTTATATATTTGCATACAGCGCGTTTTTGTAAATTTAAATTAGTTAGAAACAAAAACAAAGTCAATTGCGTTGTCGTTTTACGTACATATATGTGTATACTATACCTGGTGCGCTCTCTCGTCGTTTGTTTTTTGTTTTCAAGGTGGCAAAAGACAGCAATGACAATGAATTGTTCGTTCACGTAATTGTGACGAAAATAAAGAAGGAAGAAAAGAGCGCATTATCCAGTCATTCCATTTTTCACCTTGGTGCTGATGACCTTAACAAGGAACGTATTTTGATCGCGTGGGGCCCCCTTCGATTTTACTAGCACTAGTCGTAAAACGAAATTTTTGCTATGGACGCGGACAAACTACTCGATGAAAATTAGACCCAAATTATGGTAGATATAAAAAATATGCAAAAGAAACTGAAGATAGTTTTCTAAAGAATGCACTAGATCTAAGAAGTAGGCAATGACAGTCTATTGTAATTACAAATCCTGATTGACGAATCAGAGTCCTTGGACTTTACTATCCAGGAATACAGATGTCGACCAAGCAATCTCGCTTCCTTATTAATTAATCA